TCAGAGTCCCATCTCAAATTCCTGCAGTCTCAGGGCTGGGACTCTGACGGTTGAGTGCCTGCCCTTGCCACCCACAGCTGGCTTGGAAGGGGCTACGTGGCCACCTCTCCTGAGGCTGCAAATGGACCTTTGAGAGAAGAAAAAGGGGTGCACTGCATGGGGGCCATGGAATTGTGCAACTCCCCTCAGTGCCCCCGCATCCTTCCCCCTCCTTGCCATGCTACCTACCTAGGCAAACATCAGTGCATGAGACTCAGTCACAGCGGAGATCACCACTGCCACGTTTCCTACTTTGTGGTTGCGTATGAGCTCTTTAAACCATGATGTGACCCATGATGTTTCCTTTCTGTGTCTCACCAGTATTTTCAGCCATTTTTTAAAAGCAGGGAAAATGCCACATTTAACTATGAAAACACAAGACAACACGGTTTCCTTGGTTATGTTTCTATGAGATCCTTTTAGGTGGGTTTCAGGAGTGAGATGCTCTCAGTAGCTGACAAGGAGAAATCAGGAGCCACCTTGAGTGTTTGAGTCTGAGGGGATTTCCATTACTAGGAAGTGGAGGGTGTTAGTAAATTCTAACTAGTTGGGAATCAGCCTTCAACTGGATCTCATTGCACTAATGAACTGATTCTACAGAAAGCTAACACAATTAGTTTCTGTTGTGACTGGTTTCTGTAAAATGACCTACAGCCATCTTTACTTCTTTGCAGTATAGCATAATAAAGCATATTGATTAGGTCATGGGTCCTCAAACTACAGCCCATGGGACGGATCCTGCCCGCCATGGCCATCCATCCGGCCCATGCTGCCATTTGCTGCCCGCGCGTGCGCTTGCTGCACGGGTGGGGAGACAGTGGCTCGCTTGATTGGAGATGGTCTCCGAGCGAGCGAGCCACTGCCTGCCTCCTGTACGCCTGCGCTCGCTGCTGCCTTGCAGCACGGGGAGGTGGGGAGGTGGTGGCTTGCTTGATCGGAGATGGTCTCCGAGCAAGCAAGCCACCGCCGCACGTGCCTGATGCCGCCTCGCATGCGCCCGACGGCCCCTCACCGGCCCGCACCCCCACCTCACCAGCCCACGCGTGTAGCCGCCGCCTTTCAACTGGCCCCCTATTGAAAAAGTTTGAGGACTCCTGGATTAGATGAACAGTTCTTGTGCTTTCCAAACGGGAGAGAGGTGACCTCAAAACAGAGCTTGGAGCGTATGTGTGAGATGCAGATGGCCTCAGGACCAGGTGCAGGTGATGGGAAGGATGTCTGCCTATGATTTCGGAGAACCTCTGCTCATTTGGGTGTCCTGGTCTAGATGGACAAGTGGCCTTTGACCTGATACAAGGCATCTTCTTAAATTGGTTTCTGCTTGAAAATGGTTTGCTGAAAGTATGCAGCAATACAGTGGCTGGAAGGGTAGCCTCTGCCAAAAGTGTCAAGCCATATAATCAGCCCTTCCATGTGACCCTGGGCAGGGCGCAAGCCCACCCCTGCCATGTGCGTGCTTACAAAATGCCATGCAGTGTGTGTGGGGTGTCAAGAATGTGCAATTGCAGCGGTGGCCTGGGGCATTTTGATACCTGAAGAGTGAGAGAGGAACAAATGTTGTCCCCTTGCAAGTTAAAGACTACTCAAGTTGTTTTGTTTCTGGAGGCAAATCCCACCCTTCACCCGACCTAAGTGCCTGCCTTCCTCTGTGCCACAAATTTAATAAGTGCAGCAGTAAATTAAATAAGCAACAATTTGCTGTCCTTTTCAAGCAGCTCAGCTCAGCTGCCTTATTTTGCTTAATGGTAGGATTGACCAAGAAAACTAGGCCTACAGTAACATATAAGTCAGACACTGGAGTCCAATCAAAACCCTTTGAGCTTCACCAGCTTTGCTGAAAAAAATAAAACACTATGGGCAGTGCACTTTTGCTATAAGTTGACTCTTATTCATATTCAATAAATGGAACATTAGGACAAAATTGTACTCCAACACTTTAAATCAATTTCCTGAGTAAGGCTGATGAAGAATATGGATGAAGTGATGGAAATGCTTCTAAGAGGCTGCACTTGATCACATCCTGTTGGAAGAATTAGTGGGTTGCTTTTCAGAATTCATGTAAATTAATGGCCAGATGTTGAATGCAGTCACTCCACAACGTTGTGCCATGCAGTGTGCATGTTAATATTAACTATATAATGTGTCTGGCTCTATATAGATACACATACACATGGAAACAAAAACGGTACAAAATCACGAAGAACATGTGAACAACACAGGATAATACTGAAAATGGAGACAGGCCTATTTTACAATTTATATTAAGCTTTTAAAACTTGTTAAATGTGTCTAACATGAAAAAGTATACTGAGACAAAACAAAGGGATTGTGTGTGTGTGTGTGTGTGTGTGTGTGTGTGTGTGTGTGTGTGTGTGTGTATTTAGATAGCTAGATCGAAAGAAGAAATAACGAGAAAAACTATGCGGAACAATGAACTGGGAGCAAGGAGAAGAAAAAACTGGGAAAGAAGGACAATCGAGAGCAAGGTAACAGTCGAAGCGAAAGTCGAAAGCGGCATGAGGCACAGCGAACGGCAGTCGCAAAGACTGAACAAAATGGCGGACGCTCCACTCTTTATAGGCCACAGGGGGGAGGGGGAGAGGAGCTTCCCGCCAAAAAACCGTTAGCTGTCAATCTTCCGGCCACAGGCACCCATATGTGTGATGCACGGAGGCCACAACAAAGAACAAAGGGATTAAAGGCAGAGTCCTTATTGATGGAATAAGTTTGGAAAAGTATCAGAAGGTCCACTGAGTCACTATGACTGCCATCTTGGGCTCTCTACACAGGCACCCTCAGTTCCTGAGGTACGGCAAGTGGCTACCAGAGGGAGAAAGATTCCCAGTGTCAGCTCCAGGTTTTGAGGGGTCCTTGGGGCAAGAAATCCTCAGTGATCCTGTTCCATCATCACCTTGGTCACCAGTTCCTTCCCTCCTTCATTTCTGCTACCTGCTTACATGCCAAAGAAAACCAGTGGCGGCACCATTGCTCCGTCTCACCGTTATTGTTAGCTGGCTTTCTTTGTGCTCACACCCTTCTAGCCCCGAGCAAGCAGTATGTGCACAAGCATCTTGCAGTGGAGAAAAGAGGAGCAAGTTGAGGAGGCTGTCAGTGGGCCTCCAGCGACTGTCACCTTCAGCAGGTGCCCAACTCAACCCTTGATAGCAGCCTTTTCACTGATGGCTTCCTGCCTCTGGAATGTGGCTTCCTTTGTAGATTCAACCCATCTCATATTCCCTTTCGTCTTCTGCCTTTGACTTGCCCTAACATGATTGTCTTCTCCAGTGTTGGCTTCTCATGATGTTTCTGAATTATGACAGTCTGTTTTATCACTTTTGCTTCTATGGAAAGCTCTGGCTTGATTTGATCCAGGGCCAACTCATTTGTACTCATTTGATAAACTGGCATCCTGGGTTTTGTTTGGGAACCTCAGAACAAACTAAATCTGGTCCTGGGTGGTCTTTCGGCCTGGCAGTTTACAGAATGTTTAATTTCACTAACAGGATATCAACTGTGTTCAGGCCATTCTTTTGCAAGAATGTCACAAAAACCCTTCTCCTGAATTAAATTGTGCACACTGACGTTGGAGATGGACAGACACAAACTTCGCTATCTTGAATTGGCTTAGCTGCTTGAAATCTTTGTCAAAGGTGGCAATTGAATCATACTAGGGGCATATGGTGGGCTAGTCAAATATTTTGGTCCGGAATATTCTCTACCATTAAAATCTACCATTAGAACATAAGGACAAGAAAAAAACATGCTTAGCAGCCATTGTGGGCACCACCGATTGAGGTTCTGGGGACAAAATACTGGATGTCCAGCCTCCTGCTGATTTTCTTCATTGTAAAATAATGTCAACATGGAGTAAGAACAGTAATGTGGAGAATGTATGGATTGTGCAGCTTCTCTGTTTAACATTCCTTGAGATATTTACCTAGTTACAAATGAAGAGACTAATCTGTTCTACTGTTTTTTCCCACTGACTCTGATTAGAGTTTGGACAGGGGAAATATATCACTCATTGCAGTATCTTCCAGTCTATACTGTAAGGGATCACTTACCTTCTCTCTCTTGTCTCCCACTCCTTCCCACCAAGTCTCTGGATCTTTTTTTCTTAAGGTGAAACATTCAACAACCATGTAGACAACTGGAGATGCAGTTCAAACAACAGCTAAACACAAACATCAACGGAGTAAGTTTTGCACTTATTCAAGAAAGTGATCTGGATAAAGGGATTTGCAGTGGAGGAATCATTTGAGAATTTGATGCACTCTGGAGCATCGTATTTTTCTTTTAAAAATGCACAGAGGTGGAAATTCAAAGAGTTGGGCCATATCTGTTAAAGTTTAAATGGACCACGGAAACAGAAATATTCAGTGAATAGAAGAGGTTATATGAAAGTCTGGTTTCCTTGAGGAACATGATTGTGCCCTCTTATCTTCTTGGAGTTAATAGGATTGGTGGCCGTTTTTTGTCTTCAACCTTTTCTTGGACAAACAGTGAAAGTTTACCTTACATTTTCAAAAGACCACGCACTAATAGCTATTTTCAGCTAAGGATTACATTTCTCACCATGTGGGTATGTCTGTGTTCCAAGATTCAGTTACAGCTATTTTAGTAACCAAACTCAGCCAGGTGTCAAGCTGTACATTGTGTGAAAATTCAAAGCTTAGTTAATATGTTCCAATTAAATGTATTGCAGCATGTGTAATAGTAATGTATCTTAATCCTAGTTTTTTCATGCTAAGTGATGTTTTTGAACCTAAAACTCTGACACTGCAGGCAAGCCTGTAGTCATGAGACTCATAGCATGGAATGCTGTATGGAAATACTGCTGTTAATAATTCTTTGTACAGCTATTTTTAATAGATATACTTGGGCTAAATAAAGCAGTGCTGCTGAATTAAACATCTTAGAGAGGTAAGAAATAAGATAACTTTGGAAAATTTATGGAAATGTACTGTTTTGTAGTCTGGAAGTCTCAGAATTTATTTTCTACTATACTTTGTAAACTACAGTTTACAAGATCTTTGCCCCCCATGGTTACATAGAGTTGTCCGCATTTCCACAAGTGTTATACTAACATTTGGTTAGTACAGTGTCATTCCTTAAAAAACAATTTCTTACAGCAGAAGACAGGTGGACATAAGACGCCCCCTCCCTCCCCAGCTCTCCTTAAAATAGGAGGTGTGAGAAAAGGTTGAAGAGCAGGATAAGGAGAAGTGGCATGAATGACCTTTTATGACAACGCTGGATAACACTTTCTTTGACTTGTAATGTTCATTTTCCCAGATGAAGATTTGAATATTTAGAATTCACCCTTACTGTTGTCTTAGAGTAATCCAGAATTGCATAAAATTAGTAAAGTTTGGATCATCATTCTTAACCACTTAAAAAGTCCACTTTTCTACAACAGAAAATATATACGGTCACCTTGTTCATTCAGGGTGCATAATACATTCATCTCCCCCATCCAGGGAGAAGATCAAGGACCAATTTGGATCTTCCACATAGAGATAACCATCACTGTCTCCATGTGTTACATTTGAAAGCAAAAGGGTATCTGCAAGTACAAGAGAAAAGTCCCCAAACTGTTCTGTGTGGCTCAACAGAGCAAATTTAAAACATTTGGATGACTTCATCAGTTTTCTTCATGCAAAAGACTAGAGTTCCACTCTCCACAGAAGAAAAGTTAAGAAAACTTTCTGCTATATTTATACTATTTCACTTGCTTGATGGACAACACATTTCCCTGACATCCTTCCAACACTTCCAGTACTAAAACCCTACATTTATTAGTTATAATAGTAAACAATAGTGTAAGGCCTATGTAAGCAGCTATCCTTGAAGAAATATCTGTGCAGACAGCAACTGTCTTTTAAGCGATAACAGCACATGACTGTGAGTTCAAACCTATCACCATTCTACCAACAGTAAATCAAACAACCTGCATTACAGAATCTCTCTTCTGCAATCATTCACCCCATATATAAATTAGTCTTTTGAAACAAGCATGTAAAATGAATTTGGAGAAAGTTTAGATTTATTATTTTAACTGTCTTTTAATGAGAAAAAGTCAGTGTCATATCCTCTTCCTCGATATCCAGCAGAAGCTCATGGTTTAAAGCATTTTTCCTTTGGCAGTTAGACAGACTGTCTATTTTGCCCTTGTAATGTTGAAGTGAAGAGAGAGATGTAGAAAATCGTGTCTCTGCTTATTTAGAATCCTTGCAAGAAATCTTGTAGTTGTGTGACAATTTCTGTATCCACAGTTTCCATGAGTGCCTGAAAACCTTGCTCTCCCAGCAATTCCTGTTGTGCTTTTAGCTTCTCATATACAAATTGCTGCAGCGACACGGAGTGTACTGGATCCTTTAGTGCAAGCTGCAGAATACAGATAAGAACAATATATATTAATGAAAACTGCAGGCAAACTCAGTGCAACGATGACTCATTCATCTGTTTTATAATCTTAGCTGGAATGGAAAAGCTTTTGTTTTCTGCAGTGCTTACACTGAGAAACACAGTGTGCCAAGAGAATCATTCCAAAGAGGAATTTTGTTACTTCTCAAATTGAAATTAACCTTTAGCTTTGGTGCCCATTAATTAGCAGTGCTGGACTCCCTAAATAGCACACACCTTCATTTTTGTAGCTTTTGTCAATCAGGACATTTTATAAACCTAAGTACTGCTGCTAATTTTCTCATTGTCCATCTGTGCCAGAAGTTCTAAGAAAAAAAACCACGTCAGAAATTCTAGGCTACAAGTATAAAGCTAGAAAAGTGAGTACCTAGGCTTGCATATCCATAGACCAAATGATACAGCCATTGACCAAAGTCACTTTTTGATCTTCTTGTTCTTTTGGACTTGGTCCTTTGTGATTTTTCCACACAACTACATTTAAAAATATGTATTTATAAAAGGTTGAAAGCTGTAGATTAGGTCTCAGTGCCTGAGGGTTGGACAAGTGATGGAATTCCTTGTAGCTAAAGTATGGGTTTAGAAACAGAGTGACCTTGTGCTTTAATCATGTATGTGAAGGGCAGTCAGAGGACTAACCTTTAAAGAAATCCTATATATAAAGGCCTGTCCAGTCCAGGCCTAGTTTAAAGATAAATATCCATGTGGAAGGATAGCAGGTTACTGATGCTACTCACCAACAGTTAGCACCCTGGCAACTAAGCTGCATCACTCAGTGTTCCCCGTTATGGCAAGATAACATCACATTATTTTTATGATAATAATTTCCCTATATTTGCATCTATACCCATTTGGGGAATGCTCAGCTGTGCTAGGAAGTAGTTGTTCCAGTTGCCCTACTAGCACAACCCAGGGAGCAGTGATAAGCCACCAGCTTCGGGCACTGCCCAAAAAATCCCAGATAGCGTTGTAAATCCTGCAGATTGCCATTTATAGTTTCTAAATTTAGTAGTGGTATAGAGACAGTTAATTTAATTCTACTGGACCAATAAAAATGTACTGACATTTCTCAGTTAAATTCAGAACATGAGGGCACATTGCCTATCAGGCATTCTTCTGGGGCACAAGAAAGAAAAACAGATTAACAGTGATTTACAAAGAATTAATAATAGTTAGTGACAAAGATCGGGGACTTGCATTTAAAATTAAAACTGAATTCACCACTAACAAACATTATATTCTAAGTCTGGACAGAAGTAAAGAATGTCAGTTCTGGAGCTGGTAGACTTCCCTAAAACATAACTGAAGGTTCAGCAGAAACTATATAGTGGAAAGTTGCACAATTAGATATGAGAATAAGGATCACCTTAAAAGCCAAATATGGCTGCTTTTAGCTCCACAACCCTAAAACCTGATCATTGCTGGCCAAGGAATCTTCCTTCCTTCAATTCACCTTTTTCTACTATCTATGTCTTTCTCAATCAAGTACAATAAAGAGGCATCAGAGTATAACTTCCATTATGCTTAGCATGGCTAAGACATCTGGTGGATACCAAGCCTGTTCCCCAGACTGCTCTAAAACTATGAAACAGTTCTGCCACCTTAGGCCCATTTTTCTTCTTTTCCACAATGTGATCACAGTGTCTTAAGTAAGCCACATTGGCATGTTTAAATCGTGGCTATGTGTCAGGTACCACGTGCCTAATTTTACCTGGTTGTACCCTGTTGTGGTATCTGAACCCAGGCAGCGCAGCTCTGAAGGAGAAATAACCTCCAAATAACCCAGTAACAGCCCATGCATTATTTGATGGCTGGTTCTTTCTCAACATGTAGCATGGCTTAAAGAAGCTGTGGTGTCTTTCTCAAATCTGCTCTTCTAAGCATGGTTAGGATGGTCTGCAGACAGGGACACCTGGACCCTAGACTTACTCTTCTCTCTTTGTCCATTCAAAGTCATCGGTGCTTTTGGGGCCCTCAAATGGTGAACTCAGAAACCTAGAAACAGCGTGAATCAGAAGGGGCCTCCCAGGCCATCTAGTCTGACCCCTGGGACCAGCTGGCTCAGCTCATCACATGCCTACCAACTTCACCTTATAAAGGCTACATCTGTATGTATCTGCTGTAGGAATTTTATCTCATGACATTGCTCCTTCCAACGAGGCAGCTCACTGTGCTGTCTCCTATATACTTGCTGCTATAGATCAACACCAGCAGGACTTCTGGATTCTGTAGGAATGCTTCCTGGCTGCTAAGTCAAAGGAGGCTTCTGATGGAGGAAGTCTATTCCTTGTATGTTCATACAAGATAGTAAAACATCTAAGTAATGCCCCTGTTGCCAAGGTGGTGCCTTTCACACCTGGTTAATTTGAGAGCACCATCCTGTGACATTGAGACTGGGGACTAGCAGTGGAGTTATGGATAACACCATGGGACTGTTGGTGTTTCAATGTTAGGCTGTATTTCCACAGCTACTGCTGTACTATTGGCTGTCCTGCTGGCTACTCATAGGATTGTGTAATGTATGTAGCTATGTAATGGCTACATTTGCTCTAGCATGATGGTGGGGGGGGGGAGGCATAGAATTTAAGAAAAAGAGCCATCCTGGTATTTTTATAATCAAATTTTAAAACTACAACTTGCTAAATTCTGTAATTTTATTCAGCAAATTGCTATCTATTATTTTAAGAAATTAATGCTGAGTACCTGCCACAGTATTGTTGTCTGAACAAAGGACTATTAAAGGGATAATACTGTATTCATGCTTCATTTTGTACAGTTTAACTGTCAACTTATTAATAGCACCTCATCTCCCTAGGCAACAATAAGAAATCACTTATTCTGTCAGATTAGTTTAACCAACTTTAGCAGTTTTCTAATTATAAGAGTCTCTCCAAAATATTTTTAGCTAGTTACAGCTTTTTCACAGTAGAGCTCCGTTAGCTGCAGACCCCCAGAATCCAGTGGAACAGAAGCAGCTGACACAAATGCTTAGAGAATTAAACAAGGATACACAGAAAAGTCATTAAAATTCCCAGGATAAGAACCTATCCGATTCCATATATTCTGGGTGTGCCTGTGTCTGTGTGAGCTGCACACACTTGCCCCCATGACCCAGCCAATATTATCTGCCCCATACCCCAACTTGCAGAGCCAAAAAGGTGTGTGCACCCCACTGTATCAATCAATGAAATGCACAGACTTCTTAGTAATGCCACTTAAATGTAGAGCAGGCTTAGAGCAGTTCCACCTGTGCATAGTATTATATTTATTCTAGTCTTTGCAAACTCAGATTAGATTGAGCTACTGTTTGAAGAACATCATTACTACAGCTATTATTGTACATGATGAAGAAGGGGTGACCTAGCTTTTACTATGGAAGTCAATAAGATGGACGCAGAAAAGACATCTCTAGGCTTCTCAAAGGAAAACCACTACATTCTTGTTTCTATTATTTACCCCACTGCCATATCACAGGGTGCCAGGAGCCACCTGTGCCCTTCAGTGTCAATTTTTCTTAAAGTGACATGTGGGTTTAAGCAAGATTCTAGTATCCATAACTGAAATGAAACATATTTTCTGGAGCTTCAAGATCCACAAAATCTATATCCACTCCTTGTGATGTACATGCCAGAAACATCCAAAGTCATCTATTGACCAATACCTCCACAGCCCAGCTCCTTGACTCAAAAGATGCTATGAGTATCTTTTAGAATTATGTGTCAGTCTTTGGGATGGCTCAATTTGTTTACCTAGGACAATTTGCTCCTCTTCATCTAGTCACCATAAAAATTAATAGTAGTCTTTTGTTATTCTGGTTATTGTCTTTATCTGGAGGTGCTGTGTATACTGAAAACCCCCAAGTGACTCCTGCATCGAGTGTATGTTAAATATACATTTAACATAGAGTTTTGCATATATACACATGTATTACATTGCTATATTGCTCAGCAGCTGAAAGCTCTCACAACTAAAACCATAAAAACACATAAAGCCAAGGTATCTGTGTATGTCTGTCAAAAAGCCCTACTTTGTCCTGTGAAAAATGCTGTTGTAAAAGTGAGCTGTCAAAAGAAAGTGTTTCTGTAAATAGAGTAGCCGGCATGACTGCCCTTTCCCATGTACTGAGAGACTCAGTCAAGGGTGGTAAAGGTAGGGGGCACTCAAAACTGACAGATCCAACAGTGGGATGAAGGGGGTGATATAACTGCCATCATTTTTGCAAACAAAGGTCTGCTCACAGCTTTGCACCTGACAGAAAAAGTTTTCAAACAAATAATTACAAAACTGTTTGAATCATTTCTGGCCTGCCCATCCAGCCACACTTACACACAGATGGCAAACCAATGACTGCTTTTGTGATGTGCTGCCCAGGCCCTTTGGAGGGGCTGTTGCTGTCACACTGAAGACAGTGATCTCTAAAGAAAAGTGGGGGAAAGCTGTGGCAGACCCAGAGGCAATTGCAGCTGGAGTGGGGAGAGTGAGCCAGTGACAGTCACTCCAAAGTTCCACCTGGTACCTGGTTGAGCTTTTGTCATGGACAGGGTTCTGGGCGAGTGAGCTGAGCAAAGTGTTGCCATTCTTGCTAAGCAGTTCACTTGCTGCTTCCATGGACCCAGGGTGGGATGAATCACTTGGGTTCAGGCAACACAAGAATCCTTCAAGGGCTCAACACCCCCAGAATATACCATGGGTTGGGATTGTGGCTTATGAACTTCCCATACAATATTCCCAACATTGACATTACAACCCACCATGGCTAGTTAGCCATAATTAGTTGCCTTTTTGTGCAAATGCAGCCACTGTACAGGATAGTTCCTAGACTTTTGTCCTCCCTTCACCCAGGCCTTGTGGTATACCTATAACAAATTGTAATAAATTAAGAGGGATTTTCTGTGCTGGCTCTGAATTATGGAATTCCTTCCTTTCAGCGGACCTCTTTGTATAGAAAGATAAATCCTGGCTAT